CCAAATAGCAAAAAAGGAAAGAGGAAATGGGTCAACAGCTCCTGAACACATCCTAGTGGTTTCAGGGTCCACAGCCCACCTTGATCCCTAACATTCAGTTGGGCCTCCGTGGCCAGCTCCCAACACTAGCTGGCCTCACAAATCTTACACTCCCACCAACTATTAACCTAATCGGAGAATTATTTGTGACAAAGTATCCTTTTCATGATCCAGTTTAACCATTATCCTTATAGGAATCAACACATTAATTACCATCCTATACTGCCTCTCTATGTTCATCATAACCCAATGAGAAAAATTCACCTATCATATCAGCAATATCAAGCTCTCTTTTACACAAGAAACTGCCCTAATATCTATACATCTTTTACCCCTTTTATTATTAGTTCTTAATCCTGAGATTATTATAGGCTTCGTATATTGTAAATATAGTTTAAAACTTAAAATTTCCTATTTACTGAGAAAGTATGCAAGAACTGCTAAGGGCTCCCATATCTAAAAAATGACGTTCTTAACTTTTAAAAGATAGTTGTTATCCGTTGGTCTTAGAAACCAAAAAATTGGGTCAGGTGTGGTGGCTCATGTCTATAATCTCAGCACTTTGGGAGGCCGAGGTGAGGGGATTGCCTGAGCCCACCAGTTTGAGATTAGCCTGGGCAACTTGGTGAGACCTCATCTCTACAATAAATAAAAAATTAGCCAACCTTGGTGATGCATGCCTGTAGTCCCAGCTACTTGGAAGTCTGAGGGGGAAAGATTACCTGAGCCCAGCAGCTGGAGGCTGCGGTGGCTGTGAACATGGCACTGCACTACAGCCTCCAGAGTGGAGCGCACTCTGGGTGACAGAGAGTGACTCCAACTAAAAAAAAAATTGGTGGAACTCCAAATAAAAGTAATAAATCTATTCCCCTCCTCCACTCTCTTATCACTGATACTCTTAATTTTCTCTATTATCATAACCTCTAACATGCATAAAAATGACACCTACGCAAACTATGTAAAAAATTCCATTGCATGTGCATTCATATCTCAGGCCAGGAAAGAATAATCTCAAACTGACATTGAATAACTATCCAAACTCTAAAACTTTCACTAACCTTCAGATTAGACTATATATCTTTATGCCAGTAGCACTCCTGTCACATGATCTATTATAGAATTTTCATTATGATATTTGCACTCAGCCCCCAACATCAATTGCTTTTTCAAATATCTACTTTTATTTCTCATTATGATACTAATCTTAGTGACCACTAATATTTTTCAATTATTCATTGGATGAGAGGGAGTAGGGTTTATGTCTTTTCTACTCATTGGATGATATGAACAAACAGATGGAAATATAGCAGCCCTCCAAGCAATCCTTTATAACCGCATTAGAGACATTGGATTCATTCTAGCAATGGCATTCTAGATATATTCCAGCAATGGATTCTGGATATATTCCAATACATGAGAATGTTGACAACTATTTATTATCAGTTCTAACTCTAATACCCTTCTATTAATAGACCTCTTATTAATAGCATTCAGGCTTCACCCACAACTTTCATCAGCCATAGAAGGTCCAACACCCATTTCTGGCCTATGCCACTCCAGCACCGTAGTAGTGGCAGACATTTTCTAGTTATTTGATTCTATCCTTTACTAGAAACTAACAAAATAATTCAATCCTTTATATTCTATGCCTAGGCCCCAGTTGTACACCATGTACAGCAATTTGTGCATTAACACAAAATGATGTAAAAAATTGTCACATTTTTCCACTCCCACCCAACTAGGCCTCATAATAGTCACTATTGGCATCAACCAGCCCCACCTGGCTTTTCTTCCCATCTGTATCCATGCCTTTTTTAAAGCCACACTATTTATGCGCTCTGGATCTATTATCCACAATCCAAATGACGAACAGGATATTCAAAAAATAAGGACTATTTGCAGCTATACCCTTATTCCCTCCTCATTAATTATCGAAAGCTTCATACTCACAGGCATAGCTTTCCTCACAGGATTTTATTCCAAAGACCTCATCATTGGAACTACTAGCACATCAAATACCAATGCC